AGAGTACTTTTATTCTCGAAAATTATGAAAATTCAAACATCTCTAAAACCAGTGAAAAAAAAGTTTCTTTTTAATAACTTGATCAACTATGGTTTTGAAAATTGAAATTTTTTTCTTTTACAACGACTCTTTAAACCTTGCTGTACGATTTTCTTTTCTTTTGCTATTTTATTGAGCTTTAAACATTAGAATTAAATTACAAAACATTAGGATTTCTTGAATTTTTGTCGTTTAATCCTAACGTTCAAAGTTCAATAAAATGACTTAAAAAAAAATCGTACAGCAATTTTGAAGGATCGATGTAGAAGAGAAACTTCACTCTTCAAGACCATGACGAATTTAATCGTAAATAAAATTTTTCACTGTTTTCACAATTTTCACAATTTTTCTGAAACAAAATTACTACATAATATAAAAATGACTAAAGAAGGAAGAACGAATTCAAGATGTTTAGAACAGAAGCTTTACGCTTTAAACCAAATAGATTGTTATATGAAAGTACCGATAATATTTCATTTCAAATAATTGCAGACTCCAGGAAAACAGTTTGTATCTGCCAAAATAATGATGGTAACACGGTGATGAAATTTTTTTTTTAAGAAAGGTCGAAACGTCCTACAGAACACGTATTTTGCTTTCTTTTATATTCTACATGCTCAATAAAACATTATTATAAAATTCCACGAGTGCGCTCAGTTTTGCTCATCACTGTACGTACCAGCATCGTAGTTGGAAATTAGAAATCTTGGCGCTGACCACTCGATTCGAGCACGCAATAACAGGCGGTAATTAGATTAGTGGCAACTAATTGGTCGATAACTTGGTGGAAGCAAAGGTTGAACTCACATGCACGTGCGCAAATTGTCTTCAGGAATCGCTGACGGTTTTGAAGAAAACCTCTCGAAAGGAGGATATTAATATGAGAAAGAGATTTACAAGACTTCATTCGTACCAACAACGAGGAGGTGTAAAATTTTCCTACGTGTAGAGAAAACTGACGTTAGAAACACTATTTTCCAAACGTACCTTGTAATTTACTATCATTCATCATCTTCCTGCGTTAAACGAACCACTCTTACGGTGGCAATTTATTTCTCGAGAATTGGCCATTAATCGTGTACTTATGTAATGAAATTAAGAAATTAAGCGAGGTACGACTTCTGAATGATTCGAACATAGAATTGCACACGTGATGAAAATGCAACGTCGCGCGGAACAGCGTGATAAAATTTCGTAACAGAAGCAGCTGAGACAGAAATTAAGAATAATTTCTTTTTCCCTTCCTCGTGTCTTAATAACCTACCCATCTATCGAACACTCTTCGCGGAAGTTAGTCTTACGTAAGTACAATCAAAGGCGCACGGCGCCATCTCGACAATCGTTCGTTCAACACTTTTAAGTACAGTGACTGCGAAACTCTCGAATCGCGAACGCCGAGCACGTCTTAATGCGATTTCGGAGTGAGAGAAGCAAGGATCATTTACGCAAAGGAGCTGAGGAGTGAATTAAGACGTTGAAGCGGCCGCTGATCAACGACGTGAAGGAAATACACGCCAGTGCATCGCGTTCAACAGGCTGGATCATCGAAATCGCGTGCACCTGGTTCTCTCTTCCCCTTTCTCTTTTCCCTCGTGCGTGTTTTCTATTTCACTTTCATCCTCGATCTCGTCTTACTTGAGCTCGGCGATTTTTTTCCCCCTCCGATCGTTTTGCGACTTTCAGTTTTATGAGACGCTGATCGTCTCGCGGTCGCTTCTCTCTCACCGAGCGAAAGGAATCACGATCGTGTTTTTCTTACCCCGAACAGATTATTTCCATAAATTCTGCTGATTTTGCTAATTGTTAGATCCATCGGATTGCGAGGATGGAGAATTACGCTGATTTACATTCCTGGTTATTTTGTTCCACTTCCTCTCGTTTTTCACCTTCCCATAAAATATTATAAACTGCGAATGTTTGTCCATTTTTATGAAGAATTTAAAGCTTCAGAGTTGCACAGAATGCGAATTCGGTACTTGTATTTAAATATTTATTTTTATTTTTCGTCGTTTTATTTTGTTAAATGATACAGATAAATATAACACGTGGAGACATTCGAGCAGTTGTATTTCTTCCACGCGTTAGTTAGAATTGTCCACCGTTTGTTAGAATTTTGAATAAAAATTTCCACCTCAATACTGGAATAATAAGAAACAGAGGTTAGGTATGGGTTAAAAAGATCTGGATAGACGAAGCAAATTTTTATCCCGATTCTATTATATCCACTGATATTTATTTTATTTTTCTTCACATTTTTCTCTAATTTCAGTTTCTTTCTCATTTCTTTCTGTAAAATATATATATACTATATAATACATATATTTTACTATATATAATTTTATTATTATATAATATACACTTGTACAATTCGACGTTTATTGAAAAGCCTCTGCAGTTCGTCCGACTCGTTCGATAACTCGTATAGAATTCAATTGACTTCCATCTTTATTTCCAAGTGTCATTTATAGTCTTCAGATAGTACTCTTTTTTTTAGGGATTTCACAGGTCCTAGAAGATTCAAGGATTCTTTGTATATTTTATGTTTTATCCTTTAAAATGAATTTCATTCGTCCGACTTTCTTTACATTTCTACTTTCACATTTCCTCTAATCTCTTCTCATTCTTCGCCAATTTTTCCCGCTCGTTCGTCAGTCCACTTTTGCGATCCTCCGCAGGACAGGCGAGATAAACAACAGAAAAGTGAGAAGATTAGTAACAATGACGAACGAGTTCCATGAAAACGTCCAGTGATAAGTCGCTGACAAACCGTTACGATTCCTTCACCCGTTATCGTCGATGTTAGTCCTCATTGTTCACGAGCCCCAATTCAAGCTCCACCATAACTGTGATGCACTGGCTTCGTTGTCTAACTAGACGGCTACTTGTTATCGTCTCAGTGCAACGAGTTTGACCGTTGAAATTTGCGTGGTCTTTTCGCAATCGTACGAAACGCGATAATAAAAGAATCACAGGAAGCGTATAACTGATCTAACATTGTAGAATATTGCGCTTGGGTCTTGCAGTTGGTTGGAACTTTGCTCTCTGTTACTTGATATCGTGAAATTTACTTTTAAAAACATTCGCTAGTGTTAGATTATTGTTGATTCTGTTATGCGAGATATTTTCTCTTGATGGCAATGTTCTGAGGACTCTACAGATTTGCATTGAATTTAAAGTTAAAGATTCGTAGATCCTTTGCTCTTGAATGTAGAATATATAATCTGGAATTCGCAATTATCCTAAAATATCCGAAAAGGTATTAATATTTCAAAAATTCTAGAAACTTGGATCCGAGAACAGTCGACAAATTTTTTTAAGAGAACTAATGTTTCAAAAGTTTTAGAGATTTGGATGCAAGATTGATAGATCCTTTGTTCTCAGGTTTAAAGCCCATAATCTAAAGTTCTAAAGTGTTCAAAAATCTTTTGAAACACTCAATTTCGAAATTCAGATGTACGATTAGATTCAATTTTAGATCAGATTCAAAGTTAAAATCCAAGATTCACGATCGCGATCCCTGTAGTATCAAAAGTTTAGACCTACGGCATGATTCGTTCGACCGCCATCTTCCCAATTCGATTTACAGAAATCGGCTTGCAAAACACACCGACGAGTTAATCTCCGTTTAAAAGAAAGCAGGGATTAGCTAATTCGGTCTCGAGTTTCTTCTCGTTTCACCTTTCGACACGCGAGTGTGTCACCTTCGGCTGAGGATCGAACGATCGATGGCGAACGCCTCGATACACGCGACTCCTCGCCTACGAACGATCTATCCCGCAGCACTTCGATGCACTTTCTATTACTATTTCGCGCGACGTGGACAAATTAATTGCAGGCAATTAAGACAGCCGCGGTTTATGGTTTATTGTGGTTGGCTTCACGGTTAAATACGTGGCGGCAAAAAATCCCCTAGGAAAGTACCGCTACGTAGGCAACGGCGGCGAGATTCGAATCGCGGAATGGGAACGCGCCAGCCCAGCCGAACCAACGAACATCGCGTCGATGATTTAAGCATCGCGGAATTGTTTATGCACCGGCCAATTGCTGTTGAATTTCGATGCTGGTGTTTTATTGTGCTTTCGTGATCGTGCAGCGTGATAAATTCGTACGCTCGGAGGGGAAAGGTTCTGATCTTTCGTTACCCAGCGGATATTCGATCGGGGAATTTTTCGATGAGGAGAAATTACGGAGTAAATTAGACGCGACTTTTTTTTCTCTCTCTCTTTTTTTTTCTTGTGTAATTTCTTGCTCGTGTATGTTCGAGGAATCTTCTGTATGTTCTCTAGAAAGAAATACGGATCTACACAATTACATGTTTGATTCTAATGTCACTGCGTCGACGTAAATTGCGATTGATTGCGGATTTTAGGTGATAGTTAGGCTTTTTCACTGTGAAATTAACCTTTCGCAGATATCATATTTATCTTTTCTATTCATAATCTATTCATCTATTCTTTTCTATTTATATTCTATTCATAATCAGGCTTTTTCACTATGAAATTAACCCTTTCGCAGGTATCATATTCATGTTTTTGCCCGACTCTTCAGAGTCGCAAACAACCACGGAGCGCAAGTGAAACTTCCGTCCAATTTTGCGCGAAGTTGTACGAGCCATAGCACGCGAAGCTCCGAAGTCAACGGAGTTGGGTACGGGTTTTGCGATAGGTCAGTTGGCATCGGGAGCAAGCGGGTACCGGTGAAAACAATTCCCTTCGGTTTTCGTATCGGGGTTGGGAAAGTTATCCGATATCCTTTCCACGGGTGGATCGCGGTCATATTTGTGCAACTGTCACCAGAAGGGACACTTTATGTAAATCTCAGCTATAGCGTCATATCGGATTACCGAAATCTGCCGGTGTACGATTCCGTTCGTCGATTGAGATACAAATGCGATCCTCGCTGAGATCGGATTCGTAAAGGATGCGGGAGTAACGAGATCCCCCTGTTGTCTCCTGTTTCAGGAACGAAAAAGAGAGTGGACGACGTGGTAGCGCCCAGGACCATTCACGACATACCGGAACACGTTCTCACGTGCGGCCTCACGCTTCCCGGTAAGTGTCTTGAAATGTCTAAATGTCTGTGTGAAATTTCGAGAAATGTCTTTTTGACAAATTCTTTGTATTCTGTCTGATCCGACAAATGGACCATTTTTCGTTGATGTATGTTTCATTATTTATATGGGAGTAGAGTCTTTTATCTTGAGATATCGAAGCGTTTGCACTTTACATTTGGCAAGATAGAAAGTTCGAGTTCATTAGGACAAACGAATATTTTAATATTTGAACGATTGCTTGTAAACAAAATATAGATACCACTTTCGAAATAACGATGAAGTTATTATAATAACATTATTATAAAATTATATAAAAAATATATATAAAAATTATTAAGAATAACAGAATGCGCGTTTTATCCATCGTCATAGAGTACCGAACGATTTTTCTACAACTATCAAAATGACCAATTTGTTAATTTTTGTTTGATATTCTATGAAAAAAGTGTGTACGTTTTCAAAGACTTGAATGATTCTCCGTGAAATACATAAATAAAAGCTCTGGCTATTATAAAATATTATAAAGATTTTTTGTTCCTTTTACTGTAACTTTTCTCTGACGGAAAATTTTATGGTTTAGTCGTCGGTAGTTAAATCTTCCCTCTTCCCTTTTCACAATTCGTTCAATGCTTCGTGCTTTCGTAGACATCATCGTCAGAAATGAAATCGTAAAACAATTCCTAAAGTGTTACATCCAAGTCTCTCCAAGTCGTAACACTGTTCCAATTCACAAACGAACGTGTCACCATCCATCTACCGATTTATTCGTGAAAAATTTCCATTAAGCTTGAGGCTCGCGACACGCTGTCTTCGCGGGAGGATAACGCGCGTTGACCACGGAGGAATATGCGGAAGCCGGGACACACCCACTCGCCACGTGGGCCTTTAAAACCTGGTTCACACGCCTCCGCATCCTCGGCAATCGTGCCTGTTTACGTGCTCGAGGACGCTTCTCGCCGCGATACACCGCAGTCCTTTCTTCCTCACCTCGCGCGTCCTGTTTGCCCTTTTCCTCTCTCTCGCCGATCTCTAACTGTATTCTGGTCCGCGCCGGCACTTTGTCAACGATTAACCGACCACGGGATAAAGGTGTCCGCGCGCTGGCTTTCCTGAAAGGAGCGCGTTGTAGTACTGGAGAAGGAAGACACGTGGGTCGAAGCGGAGAGCCGAGATAGCGGTCGGCTTTTCGAGAGGAAGTTGACTTACTTAGTCGGAGTGGGACGCTCGGTTATGTCGTTCGCGAGGGGGAGGATGGTCTCTTTGCAAGGGGACGCTTTCAAAGAGGGTTAGACAGCAGGGTGACGAGGGTTTTACACTTTGAAGGGAATCTTGGCGAGCACTTTTTTACTGTGGTAATTCGTCTGGGGAAAAGAGATTGGAGATAACAGTCGAATATTAGGACTAATATACACGTTGGAATTTTTCGATCTAGAAAACTTCATCGTTTATCTTTTTTCTTTCTTCGATTTATTCACATCGATGTGAGATCAATGAAAAACTCTTTGGAGTCGTATTTTCGTAGGTGTCATATTTACATATCGACACAAAGTAGCTCAAAAACAATTTATACACGCATAAAAAAAAAAAAATCTCAACTGCATTTCGGATATAACATGGAATCGATGCTTGAATACTACGTTAAATACTACAAGTCTACTTCTTCTTTACTAAAACTCGTTTGTCAAACCATTTTGAGTTAATTAGTACACAGTCTTGTTATATTTGTAGGACTTTGGTAAAAGATGGTTGTTTATTTAAAGTTAAAAAATAAGAAATTTTGTTTAATGGTGATTTAAAATTATTTTACACTGTTCTCTCTTCATATTTATATCGCTAGATTCTCACTCTGTTCTCTCTGACTTCTCGAATCTCACTCTGTTCTTCTTCCTCATCTCTGCACAAAATTCGTCATTCATACACACATACACACAAACGCATCCATACCCTTAATATCTTAAATGCTAGGCCTGGAGGGCTAGCCATAAACATTCCCAAGTCCTAGGCCTAACTTTCTCTATAGTACGCCACTTGAGACATCTAGTTACAATTGTTGGGCACTGAAGAAAGTTCTGGGCCTTTCCCACATATTTGTATTTCATTTTTTTTTTTTTTTTTTTTTTATATGGAGGTTTAGCGTCGCATCGACTACGAGGTCTTTAGCGACATGTTGAAATTGTCTCTTTATAACTGGTCTAGTAGTTGGGTCTCCTTTAAGTAGTTGATAACGTTTTTTTTTTTGTTGTTTCTGGCAGGTTAGAGCGGTATTTTGGTTTAATCCGTATTTACTTCTTATGTTTCGGTATTTTCTGCATTCATGTAACAGGTGCTGGGTGGTGATTTGTTGGTTGCAGGTGTTGCAGAAAGGTGGTTCTGTTTTGCTTAGGAGGTATTCGTGTGTGATNTTTTGGTTCTATTTGTCGTAGTCCAAATTCTGTTCCATTCTTCTCTTTCCGCTTTGGTCGTTGAAGCTAGTAGGTCTTGGTGTGGGATTGGGATGTTGGTTTCTTTTGTTTGGTCTGTTGTTGCTTCTTTGGCTAAGGAGTCGGAGTCATTTTCATTTCCTTCAATTCTTTGGTGTGACGGGATTTGTATTTCATTTATTCACACTTCACCTCTCAAACCACATACTTCTCAGACTATTCTATAGTATGTATATACTTCTTCGACCACTCTATAAAATATAGGATTTCATTTACTTGAGATTGTTTAAAGATTTCATCGTTCGCAGCCGTTGACACGCAATTACTTACTGCTCGAGCGATCGCCCAATAGGAATAGCGAAATGCCTTTCGTTCGCTTTTTTAAAAACCATCGCGGCTGGTTTATGCAGGCCGTCGGTTTCGATATCGTCGGCATTCAGCTGGGTTTCCACGGGCACGACTACTCGGCGATCGTTTCACGTGCGCGCGTCCATTCCCTTCCTCTTTTGGAACGCATAATTTCCTCGCATTCCAGCGTTTCCCTCTCGCCGATGTTCTCTCCGGCGAGCGTTTGTTAAAGAGCAGGAATCGCCGGCTAATGCGACTAATTCGAAAAAGAAAACGTCGTAACCGTACTTTCTCGTGATCTTTATTAAACGTCGCGCGGATCTCTCTCTCTCTCTCTCTCTCTCTCTTTCTCTCTCACTCTCGTAGTTCCACCTTTTCAGTCTCTTACTGAAAATATCACAACGACGCTTCCTTCATTCTTTCTTTTTTTTTTTTTTTTTTTCTTTTCACTCCGAGCTTTCTCTTCGTAGGCGCGTTCTCCTCCACTCTTCGTTCTTTCTTGCCGCGCGAAAAAGAAAGAGGATACTTCCTATTCCTCCTGTCTCGTCGGAGGCAATCCCACAGCCGACTGTGCCCCCTCGTTGTTTCACCGTTCTTCAACGGCGAGCAAAATGAAAACGGGACATTCGACTCGAAAGACCTGAGAGAGAAGAGAAGGCAGAAAGGGACGCGCGGAATTCAATTTTAACGAAACGTCTCCGTGAAACGGTGTCCGTGCCTCTCCTTTGAGGAAGACTCGCGTGCCTCCTCGTGCGCGCCGAGAAGAAACTCATTGAGACTCGCACAGAGACGCTCAGAGGCTCGTTGCATTTGCAAGAGGATCCTTCGGAGAATTTCAAGGTTCATATTGTACGGACAGCGTGACGTGACTCGCATCGAAGGAGCAGAATAGGCAGAATTGTTTTTGCTGGTTTGTTCTGCGAGAGAGTCGAGAGAGTCCTAGGCCTGTAATCTTCCGTCGTTCGCGAGCAATCGTTTTACCGTGTTATTAATCGATCTGGCAACGCGAGCAGCAAAAACGGGGCTACGCGTTCGAATCTTTCTTCCTTCTTTTTTCAACGCGCGAACAATTACACCGTCGCCGGTAGCGTAGAAAGTAAAAGACCACGCGGGCCAAAAATCTGCGAACGAGTGAAAGGAAACGCGATTTAACGTCTGAGTTATGACGACTGTTCTTCGTGTGCGTGTTCTGTGGTTAAGTAAATTGTGCGAATATCGAATAAAGTAAACTGAGATGGATCACTGAAATTGTTAGAGATTGTCGTAGAGAACGATTGAAGTTTGATTGGAAGTTCAAAGTTGTCAGACAATAGATTTAGGATTCTTGAGAATCCAAGTTTCGAACTGTAGAGCCAAGTCGCTGATACGTGTTTTCGCTTAACTACTTTAATTATTAAAATATTAGTCACGATCCAACGTTATAGATTTTAAATCTTCAGGTCCGTGAATCTTGGAAACTTTGAATCCAAACTTTTGTTACAGCACTAATTTTGAGAGAATGAATCGATGGAACTTGGTGCTTAACCTTGAATATTCTTGAAACTCCATTGTTCTTAAATTAATCTCATAGTACTTTAAAATTCTATTCAGTATTCCCTAGACGTTCTTTTCCAATCCTCTGTGAAAAGAGGTTTCTTTGTTGCTGCGCGAGCTAATCGTACAATTAGCCAACTTGGTGTCAATTACTAGTGTTTTTTAATAAACATCTCAACTCTATTTCCTGCGTGTTCTTCCGGCAGCTCGCCACTCGTATCTTTCTTTTTTCTCTCCCTTTTCCTCTATAATCGGCTTCTCTTACTTAATTAAACGCGAGCATTTCCGGCGTGCAAGAATTTCGCACGACTTATTTGTCATCCTACGACGTAGTTCGCACGCTTCCTCGTTCTCATGCAAAAATTATCGCACGATTACACGCTATTTTCTCCCCTATTCACGTGCCATTATATGTTTCATCAGAGTGTTATTATCAGACTTGCGGATTTTTATGCAAAATCATATTTTTGAATAAGAAACACCGAGCTTGAATAGAAAATTGTTTTATATATCGAATATTATATATTTTTATATATTTTTATTTTATATATTTACATATATATAAATTATATATTTTATCTATTATTTTTTCTTATATATTTTATATATTTTTATTTTATATATTTACATATATATAAATTATATATTTTATCTATTATTTTTTCTTATATATTTTATATATTTTTATTTTATATAT